AGGGGGATGAGAAGAGCTGACGGGCGGCAGATGAAAGGCGCGAAAGGGACATTGAGTTACACCCCCCCCCCACGCGCGCGCACACACACACACACACACACACACTCTGACCATGATGCACTGTGGCCTCCGCTCTCCCCCTCACCAGCGCTCCCCCGGAGTACCTGGGGGGGGCGTCTCCCCCCCTTTATGTCAGGGTGTATTGCCCCTGAATGGGCCTGGCTCCTTGCCATATAGTGGGGATGTTGTGGAAGAGTGTGTCACCCTCAGCAGGAGGGTGGGGCACCCCCGTTTTGTGTCTCCTTGCCCTCAAGCTTTTCTTGGCTGGATGCACCCCCAACTGGAATACCTTGCTGTCCTGTCCCCCTGTCAGGAGAATGTGTTGGCCTCAGGGCCAGCCCTTTGCTCCCTCCCATCTTTGGTGTGGGTGGCTGCTGTGTTGAGCATGTCTATGTGTTTTGCCCCATCTGCCCTGGGAATGCATTTATGACAAATAATACTTGGATGGGTTACATGCCCATCTGACAGAGACATGCTCCTAGGGAAGGTCATACATTCTCATGGACTTGTGAAGGTGTGGTCACCTTGGGTTTTCTCACACACACCCATGAGGAAAACATTTAGGAGAGTCTGGGCTCCCATCTTCATCAGAGAGCTATCATTTACATCTCTCTGGAAATATAGGAAGGCCATCTACGTACACATGGGGAATTCCTCACTAGAGCATACCTAGCTTGCATGCTTTGAAGGAACTATCACTCCAATGTTTTGCACGTACACATATGGGAAATATCACTAGTGTGTCACAGCCCCACCCACATGTGGCATATATTACACAAGTGTTTCCTTCTCAAGGAGCTATTGCAGAGCATGTTACTCTTTCACCTTCCCCCAGTGCTCCCATTATACTGAATCATGACTCCTCCATGAAAGAAATAGTGTGGGTGTTTGTTGCATCCCTCATTAGAGTTGTTTTTTCACAAGGGAATTTATTCATTAGAGTTTGTTGTCCAGTGCTCCTGATCAGTGTCACTCTTGGTGGCTGAAGTATTCAGGTTGGACACAGTGTCAATAAAGTTAATTTTTCTTTTTTAAATAAGAAGAAGATGGAAGGATTGAAAGTGTCGGGAACATTATGGTGAGGGGTTGGTTGGTGATGGGGTTAGAAATAATTCGCAGTTCTTTCACCTCCTCTAAAAATATTAAACTGAATTTGTGCCCCGTGAAGAAAAAAATCCCTGAATTTTGTCTCCCTTCTCCTTAAGGTGTGTTGGCCCCTAGAAGGAAAAATCAGTTGAACAAATTACCCATATCATAATGTATGTCATTACTTCAGAGTGTGGTCTATATTTTTTTCTTAAAGCTAATGATGGACTTTTTCTTGCTAGAAAATATTTTACAGTTCTAAAGCTCCTTTCATCCAGTGGGCCTAAAGTGTTTTACAAGCATTGAATCACACAACACTCATGCCTGTTACAGGGCAGTAAATTTAGGCATACCAGGGTTAAATGATCTACCTGCAACAAATCACAAAGTTAGTCTATAGCAGATCTGGGAATAGAATTTAGGAGTCATAATTTACAGTCCCTTCCAATAACCACTAATCTAAATTTCTCAACTGTCATCTGCAGGACACTTACTAGTGTTTTGCAGAGAGATGCTTGGTCATATTGTGCTGGTACTTCATATTACCAATCACTTCAGCAGATGTAGAGTTTAAATATTTGAATCTGTTACAAATGAGGAGACTCTATTTTAGCTCTCTCTATTAGGACCATTGCTACAAAGGTGGAGGAGAGGAAATAAGCTGTCCTTGGGACGAGTCACCAGTGGGAGTGAAGCTATCAGTTATGAGTGGTAGCAATGTCCACATGAAAAAGAAATCAGTTTATATGGATGGTTCTGTCTTATGTAGCATGGGAGAAGCAGACCATGAGGTTCTTGGGTATACCCACAAAAGTAGGGGAAAAGGGAACCAAGCAGCAAGAAATCACGTGCAGTGGAGGAGAAACCAGGCAACAGGATAATTGGAGGGAAAAGGAGAAGGGGACTAATGGTATAGAGGATAGGGGAAGGGAAACAAAATAAAGCAAAATTAGCATGATTAACTTTTTTTCAGAGGACAAAAACACTTGCATGAACTAAAATACTTCTGTATATCTGTGAAAGCAATTGCTGTAGTTGCCACAAGAATGTTGAGGTGACCTGCATGTTTACAGGATGGGAACGAAGGTGTGTATGAAACTCTCTCTTAAGATGAGATCCCTTTTCTATGAAGAAGTTTGAAAAGCACATCACTTCCTAAACATTTTCTCTAATATATGGAAAAAAAACTATTTTGGTAGGTTTTTTGTTATGTGAACATACTATAAAATTAAAATCTCTAATTGTATTCTTTCTGTTCTTTTTGTTTTTGTTTCAGTAAAAGGATGTTAAAGTCACAAATTGTAAATTCAAATAGAATTATCCACATCCTGTCTATCCTCTGGAAATACGGGCGACATTGAGAATCCGTCTTAAATAATTTTGGTTGTGTTTATTAGGAATGTTCTGATTTTCCTATTGCTATTGCCAACAGTTGAGAAAATACCAATATGTGTGTAATTTATTTTGAACTGTGGTTTTATATCTGGACTGGAGGTTCTTTTTATTCCCTCTAGAACAACAGCAGAGGGAAACATCAAACATGTTTTTCCTCTGGGATTTTTTTTTTTAATTTAAATCTCTTTATTTTAGAAATACATGTTGAACCTCTCTAGTCCGGTACTCTCTGGTCCGACAACATCTGTGGTCTGGCATGATTTTATTTAGCTGGATGTTCACTTATCATGGGTATGGCAGAGTTTCTTGCGATCCTGTAAAGTTTGTTTACAGCCACCAGTCCTGGCTCTCAGTGTTTCGTGCTGTAATTTAGCACTGATTTACCCCTAAATGTCTTCTAAGAGCCCAGTAAGCAATGGAAGTGTTAGCAATGCTGCTACATAATATTGACTTCCGTGGTCTGGCAAATTCTCTGGTCTGATACTGCTCAGGTCCCAGGAGTGCCAGACTAGAAGGGTTCAAACTGTAGCAGAATTCAAATCAATATTTATTTTATAAATACCCCGTTATTCATTTCTCTCTGGGTTTATTGGATTAGTTCCTATCTATGATGGTTCCTTGTGATACTACTTTAAGTACAAGACTATGGTGATGTCATGAAGATAACTCAAACTTTGTGGATGGATGTATTGTTTCAATGAAGTGTGTCATGTCATATCACTGTTTGTCAGATGTTAGATTACCATTGGCATAAGGAAAAATACTTTTCATGTGTTCTATCAAACCTCAAACATTTTAGTTTATGGAAATACCTGTGTGTTTTGCATTATTTCATACTCTTTCTTATGTCTAACTGGTATAGTTGTCATCTTAGGTGCCCACAATATGCAAATCAGAATAGAGACTATGTTCAGAGAAACTAAAAACAAGTGATTAATTGCTTTAGAAAACTACTTGTCATGTAGTAAAGATTTTGTTTTGACTTAGTTGGACTATTTCTTTTGGGCATAATGAATACTGGTTGGCTTTTAGTGACATTGAGCAGTTATGAACTATGTGTGATAAGGGTTGTGGACTTGTTTATTCCTTTTATGAAGTCCAGAAAAGTGAAAATGGAGTGATACTTTCTTCAGCATATGTTCCCCTGAGTAAACTTAAAAAACAGCGAAATGTCTAGCAGCATCTTAAAGGCTAACAGAACATGTAGATGGTATCATGAGCTTTTGTGGTTACAACCCCCTTCTTCAGATGAATGGAGTATTAAAAGTCCAGTTCCAAAATAAATAAGGGATGGGGTGGGGGGGGGGGAAGGAAGGGGAAAAATAGTGAATTTAGAGTGTTCATGTTACAAGAAGCAGATGGAGAAAGTACAGATTGTTCTTAACCAATCAAACAATGGTATTTAAGTCATTAGGATGTGAAAGGTAGTGTGCTAACTGCGTAATGCCTTTATTCATACCTTTGTGATGGCTCCCAAACTTGTAAACGAAGTTAAGTTCCAATGCTTCCCTATTATTTGGCTTGTGGAATTGGCCTGAAACAACAGAGTGACTTGGAGATCCATTAATGAATGGTTGGGCAGGTTAAAGTGTTGTCCAACAGGTTTCTGTATTTTTTGCCTTTTCAGGTATCTGATTTGTGTCCATTCTTTCCTGTAGAGACTGTCCAGTTTGACCACTATACTTTGCAGAGGGGCTTTGCTGGCATTTGATGGTATTGATCACATTAGTGGATGTGCAGTTAAATGAGCCCCTGATGTAGTGGCTGATGTGATTGGGTCCAGTAATGAAATCACTTGTGTAGATGTGTGGACAGAGTTGGCATCAGGGCTGATTGCAAGGGAGGGTTCTTGGATGATTATGATGGAGGTTTGCTTTGTGGTTACTAAAAAGAATTTGTTTGAGGTAAGGGGATTGTCTGTAAGCAAGGATTAGCCTTTCCCCTAAGGCCTGAGAGTGAGGGGTCATTTTCCAGGACAGGTTATAGATTGTTGATAATGTGTTCCCCTGAGTGTCAGTTTATTTGAGAACTTTACAGAAATCCAAACAGTCTTTTTTTTTTTTTAAATGGAGATTGCCTATCTCCTAGAACTGGAAGGGACCAAAGGTCAGCAAGTCTAGTCCCCTGCCTTCACAGCAGGACCAAGTACCATCTCTGACAAATTTTTGCCCCAAATCCCTAAATGGCCTCCACAAGGATTGAACTCACAACCCTGGGTTTAGTAGGCCAATGCTCAACCCACTGAGCTATCCCATATGTGG